GCAGTTCACCCCACAGGTAAGGATCGGGCCCCATTCTTGCATACCATTTCAATTTAGGGAGAACTAAACCAAATTAAACCCCTGTGGCATGTACAAGCAACCTAAGAGCATCTGAATATCAGATTTCTTCTTCTTTGTCTTCATCCTCTTTCTCTTCTACTTCCTCTTCCTCTTGGCTCTTTTTACTATGAACTGTGCATAAAATTAGAAACTGAGTATCTTCAATGTTTTATGTAAAGTCAACACATCCCAGTACATTGTGGGATGTTTGGAACTGAAATTATCTGAAACTTAACACTTTCTTTCTGTATAATTTCTTTCAAGATACAAGGTCATCCTGACACTAGCAATCTACTTTACAAGATAGGAATTTAAAGAGGACATTTGCATATTTTCTGATTTATTTTGGAGTTTGTGTTTTCTGAGCCATAGTCCTTCTGAGGGAATTTGCACCTATTCAAATGTGACTCATTTAGCTTTTGTTTCTGTTTTTACTTTATATTATTTTTTTCATATACATATACAGTATTCAATTAAGATGTGCCTTTTAATTGATGGAATGTAGAATTCCAAAAACAGGTTCCATCCTAAGAAACTATTAAATACTAGAATTATGCAATAAAAATAGGGACTAAGCCCCCCCACTTCTTAAACATAATTTTTTCTGTCCAGTCAGTTGACAAATCGCACTCAAGGAATATAGAAAGATTCACGTACATGCGCATGTACATGTGTACACTTGCAGATGACATCAAGTTGTGGGGAGTAGTATGCTGCAGGGTAGAGCTAGGATTCAGAGGGACCTAGACAAATTGGAGGATTGGACCAAAAGAAATTTCATGAGGTTCAGTGAGGACCTTGGGGTTACAGTAAACTGAAGATGAGCCAACAGTGTGCCCTTGTTGTGAAGAAAGCTAACAGCATATTTGGCTGCATTAGTAGGAGTGTTTCCAGCATCTTGAGAGAAGTGATTATTCCCCTCTATTCAGCACTGGTGAGGCCACATCTGGGCTAAGTGCAGATATTCTGGGAGGTTAGATTGGGTTAAAAATGGCCACCTGATCTAACTTAGTTTGCCTTGATGCAGATCTTACACTTGAACCCAGTCTCAGGGATCAGAGATCAATCTAAATCCATAAATGTACAGAAGTTCTGTGCATGTAGACCAGTCTAAAAATGACAGAACATAGTCTAAGATTCACCTAGATAGATATACACTCAAACTTAATTAATCTAAGTTAGACCAGTGAATGGAACTTCTGTACAGTTAGCTGTGCAGCCCCAGGGTGAAGAAAGCTCAGCTGCTGGGCTGCTTTCGTACTCTCCCCCTGGCACTGGGCTATTCTTGGCTTTCTCCTTGTCCTGCAGATCCTATCTACCTCCATTAATTTCCCCCAAGCCCCCTGTTAGCACCCCCCCATCCTGACTTACTTTAGATCAGTTGGCCATTTTTGATGTGATCCAACCTCCCAAATGTCTGCACTTAGCCCTGGAGTACTGTGTTCAGTTTGGGGCCCTATAGTACAGAAGGGGTGCAGACAAATTGGAGAGAATCCAGTGGAGGGCAGTGAAAATGGCGAGAGGACTGGGGCACATGACTTCTAAGGAAAAGCTGTGGGAACTGTGCATATATTCTGGAGAAGAGAAGACGGAGGGGATTTAATAGCAGCCTTCAGCTGCCTGAAGGTGCTTCCAAAGAGGATGGGAGTGAGACTGTTCTTAGTGGTGGCAGATAATAGAACAAGGAGCAATGGGCTCAAGTTGCAGCAAGGGAAGTTTAGGTTGGGTATTAGGAAAAACTTTCTTGGTAAGGTGGTAGCGAAGCACTGGAACAGGTTACCCAGAGAGGTTGTAGGGGATGGAGGTTTTTAAGATCCTTGGAGGTTTTTAAGACCCAGGTAGATAAAGCTTTGGCTGGGAT